ACATGTCAAACACAAGGCCCGGGGGCCAGATGCGGCCCGCAAAGTGATTTCATGTGGCCCGCGAAGCCATCCTGGAAACAGTGAGGGAACAGTCCCCACTGCCTTGGCCCTGGCCCAGGCTGGCCGGCCGGCAGCCAATGTACAATTTTGTGGTGGCCATCTATGCTGAAACGCATTCAGTCTCCCTCTGACTTTGCCCTGGTACCCATCATGAACAACATGGCTAAGGAGAGCAAGCACAGCAGCAGCCTTGAGGAGGAGGTCAGTGCAGCTGGGCGCCCCCTTGGGGAATTTTCTGGGGAAGTTATCACACCCATCACAAGACCCATCACTAGATCCATCACAAAACCCTCACCTGACATGACCCTCCCATCACAAAATCTACTGACCCCACGAAGCCCTTATAAGCAAAACACCACCAACACTGACATTCCCTAAACTCCGCTGAAGATGTTACCTAGCCTGGTAACAAAATGTTCAGAAACCAATCTACAAGCTTGGAGAATGAACCTCCACCCACAAATATCAGCTTTCCAATCTCCAAAGGATATTGTGATAAAAATGGAAAGAAAATAGGCCATACAGCAAAGAGCAGAGTCAGAGGATGAAAAAGGTAAGGAATTGGAGTTGGGCAAAATGTAAAAGCGCATTGAGCACATTAGCCCTGAAGGTGCAGGGCACATCTTCGGGGTATGTAGTGAAACACAAACTGAATAGGCATTGCATGGTCTTAGAGTTAATATATTAAGGATTGGAATCACTAAATTAACAGTGAAATAAACTGGGCCCATCCAAGCAACCTTACATTTCCCTGTTTCCATTACAACAGGCCCAATGAAGTATATAAATGCTAACAGGAGAATTCAATGCTCCTGTGCTATATCCCATTGCCTTAACATGAACCTGCTTCAACCATATTGCTCTTCAATATTTTGCCATAGTCCTGTCTAGCAAAAACTCTTCTGAAATCTGAGGAAACCTCCATTTAACAGTATCATCATTCCCTGTAAGAGGAGTCCAAGTAAAACATTCTGTTGAATGTGAGGTTCCACAGCAATGGCCCCTAACATTTTGGGCACCAGGGACTGGTTCCGTGGAGATAGGTTTTTTTCCGCAGACCATAGAGGTTGTAGTTTTGCATGCTGCCTGCATCCTGTGGATGGAGTTTAGCTTGTTTACGTGGTTGCTGGCATGCCAGGGGTTTAGGACTCTTGTTCTACAGTACAGGTAGTCCTTGACTTATTACCACAACTGAGCCCAAAATTTCTGTTGTTAAGTGAGACATTTGTTAAGTAAGTTTTGCCCCATTTTGCAACCTTTTTGCCACAGTTGTTAAGTGAATCACTGCGGTTGATACGTTAATGACCCAGTTGTTAAATGAATCTGGCTTCCCCATTGACTTTGCTTGTCAGAAGGTTGCAAAAGGTGATCACATGACTTTGGGACACAGCAATGGTCACAAGTATGAACCAGCTGCCAAGCATCTGAATTTTGATCACATGATCATGGGGATGCTACAAAGGTTGTAACTGTGAAAAATGATCATAAGTTACTGTTTTCAATGCTGTTGTAACTTTGAACAGTCACTAAATGAACTGTTGTAAATCACGGACTACCTCTATTATGTTTACTGGACTCGATTTTATCACCCATTAGCCTAGAGGTAGCATTAAAATTTTACACCTTTTGCTATCATTAGAAGCTGGAATGTTCCTACATTGTTATCTCACTCATATTAAGTTTCATTGGCCACTGCAATCTTTTATCTGTATAATTTGATGTCATTTTATGCTAGTTTCTAAGGATTTAGAATAACAGAATTACAAAGTTGGAAGGTACCTTTGAATACCTACTTAGTCCAACCCCATGTTCAAGCAGGAGATCCTATCATTTCAGACAAATGACTGTCCAATTCCTTCTCAAAAGCCTCCAGTAATGGAACTTCACTTGCTTTCACTTCTGAAAGCAAGCTATTTCATTAATTGTTCTCACTGTCAGGAAATTTCTCTTCTGTTCTAGGCTGCTTCTCTCCATGATTAGCTTCTTGTCTTGTTCAGGTGATTTGGAGAATTGGTTGACCTCCTCTTCCTTGTGGCAGCCCCTCAAATATTGAACACTGCTATGATGTCAATCCTAATCCTTCCTTTTACTAGACTATATACCCAAGTCCTGTAACTGTTCTTCATATGTTTTAGCCTCCAGCCTCCTAATCATCTTTGTTTCTCTTCTCTGCACTCTTTCCAGAGTCTCAACATCTTTTTTATATTGTGGTGACCAAAACTGGTTTCAGTATTCCAAGTGTGGTCTTACCAAGGCATTATAAAGCGGTAGTAATCCTTCACATGATCTTGATTCTTTCCCTTTGTTTCCTTCCAGGATATTCACAATTCTTCTCAATGTTGTTTCAGTTTCTAGTCTCTTCAGGAAACTAATGCAAAGTGGTGCATTTTTCTGCTAAAGTTAGAAAGAACTCAAAGAAGCTAATTCTTAAATAATCAAGAGAGAAATTGAAACATGTTTGTTTTATTGTCAGCCTTTCTTTTCAGCAAGATTTGTAGACCCAGAATTAAAATTTATTCCTGTTCACTAATAAGTGCTCCTAATATGTCCTAGCTTGAATCACATGATAGGTGGCAAATAAATTTGATAAATAAATAAACTTTTTTTGTAATATATTTTATTTATTTTTTTTAAAACATAAATCACTTAATAATTGGTGAACAGTGTGTTGTCTGGGTTTACATTTAAAAAACAATCACTAACAATTGATTTCTATAATCCATAATCCACATAATAGTTTTAGTTGATTTCCTCTTTTCCTACAATATCCTCTTTTGCAAACATTGAGTTAATACAATTCTTATTGTTTCGATAGATAACGATTAAATATATAATTTTTCCCAATATTCCTAAAAATAATAATCTCATCAATATAATATTTCTTTTCTATCCAATCATTCTGGTTGCCTTATCATAGATCCTGTTACAGTCCTTATTTTAATTTATTTTCTCCCACCAAATTCTAGGTATTCTTACTGGTTAAAATTTTTTCAAAAATTAATTACATTTAAAAATTTGACTCTATTTTTTCCATATGAACCATCTCACACTTTAACATTTCCTAAGGGATAGATAAAACAGTGAAAAAAAGAAAGAAAGGAGAGCAAGAGTAAAGAAACATAAAAAATAACATACTACTTAAAATATATATCCCTCCTAAGCTAATATATATTTGTTTCCAAGATTTCTTATTCTTTATTAATTATAATTAAAATATGTTTAATCTTTAAATATTCCAATTAATGCATCTAGTCATCTGATCCTTTAACTCTTATTCAAAACATTTTTAATCCATTATAATTTTCTTAAATTCAATCACATTTAAATATCTAAAACATTTCCTTTATCTAAGTCATTTCAACTTTTTTATATTACTCATATCAAGAAAGAGAATAAAAAAGGGGGGAAAGCATATTATATTATTTAGGGAATTCATCCCTCTTAGAATAACATATATATTCCAAATCTTTTCTATTTCTTTAAGCATATTCAAACAAATGTATCTTTTTTAAGTATTCTTTCTGGTAAGTCCCATCATCTATTTTCTTGGTTTCCACTTTAAGCTTTTTCCTTTGCCCAATATCTTTCATAATCAATGTATTTTGCTGAAGCAAAAGGTTTTTCCGTATGTTCGTAAATGTAATTGTAGATATAAAAAGTAAATCAGGTGAAGAGTCTTTGTATAGGGCTTCTGCCTTTCCATGTTTGTTGAAGATCTTTTTCTTTCTCTCCACTTCTCTTATCATTTTCTTTCTCTCTGATGTTCCTGACATCTCTACAGTCCATTTTATCCAATCTGTTTTCTTGTCCTCAGATTTATTGTGTAGCCTTATGGGATAAGTTGTTTTTTTCCATTTCTTATCTGTTTTATCTGCTCCTTCTCTGTTGTTGTTTTCTGGGAATTTTTTTGTTGTAGAGTTAATTTGGAAATAGATTGATTTATATTTTCAAAGTTATTTTGAATTTCTTTGTGGTTTAAAGTCATTGTTTGAATTAGTTGCAGTATCTTATATACCTCCTCCTGTGAAGTATTTATGTTTTCTTGATATGTTCTTTCTATATGTCTCTGATCCATGATGGCCAAGAATTTAAGTTTTTATCTTCCTTTCTTTTTTCTCTTTTTCTTAGAGTCCCAATTAAATAAATATTTGTAATCCAAATAGTTCAAAAAATATTTTTTTCCTGAAATTTATAATCCTCTCTTTGTCTACAGCCCAGATTATTGTCTTTTTTTAATCACAGCTTTCTTTGTTGTTAAAGCTTTGAAGGTCACAGACACAGATTAGCTTTTCCCAGGTTTTGCCAAGTCTTATATTAAAGTCATAACTGTCATAGTCTTCATTCACCACTAGGTGTCAGCAACATTTCACTTCCATGTATTTTGATCCTCCATAAAAAAATTAATTTGCCGCTTCCATTAGTATAAGGGTGGGGCGGAAATCCCCTTCCTTCCCTTTCGGAGGTATTTTGCTTCTTGGGGATCTTTTCCAGGAAATTACATATAAAATAGAAAAGAGAAGATCGGATTCCTCACCCAGTTTCAAGCACGCTGTTCACAGTTGTGCTGGTTAGTGCTTTTGGACTTCGGTTGCTAGTAGCTTGGGCTGGTCGATGCAAAATGGCCAGCCTTTCTCCTGTCAGGTTAGAAGCTTTCCCCAAGTCGAACGGAATGGCCGCCGCTGTTCCATAATCTCTGGAGCACCCTTCTTTCTTCACCACCTCTCCAGGGTGACTTAGACCCATTTAGGGTCCCCTGGCAGGGTGAAATTAGCCACGGGGGGTGTGGAGAATCCACAAGCCCGTGACTGTCATTACTGCGCAAAACCGGAAGTCCCTTGATAAATAAATAAACTTGTCCTCAAAATCACCAGCTGAAAGTATTTTTATTGATAACCAGTAGACATGAACTAAAAAAAAAGTTCATATATTTCTTTGAAACTTCATATTTTCAACACCTTGACCACAGCCCTATGGACATCCTTATTCCGCAAGGTATAAATGATAGGGTTCAGTAGGGGAGTGACCACAACATATAAGACTGCAATTTGTTTGTCCTGATCAGAAATTGTGTTTGACTGGGGGAGAATGTATATGGAAATGATGGTACCATAGAACAATGTGACCACAATAAGGTGGGAGCCACAAGTGGAGAAAGCCTTACGCCAACTTGCAGCTGAGTGCATTTGAAAAACTGAATACAAGATGCAAGTATAGGAACATAAGATAACCGAAAAAGGGATCAGAACAATAAATGTTGCTAGACCATTTAGTATGATTTTGGTGCGTTTTATATCACCACATGCAAGATCTAGCAGAAATTGCAGCTCACAGACAAAGTGGTTAATGCGATTGGGACCACAGAACGGGTGACGGGAGATACAAACAACATTGACCATTGAGAAGAGACAACCTATGACCCAGCAGGAGCTGGCAAGCAGATATTGCCGCTTGCTGTCCATAGCAGAGGCATATCTCAATGGATTGCAGATGGCCAAGTAGCGATCATAAGCCATGACACCTAATAGCAAACATTCGGTACTACCCATACACAAAGCACTGGCTCCTTGCAACATGCAACGTGTTACAGATATTATTCCATTTCCTGCCATGAGATGAGCTAATAATTGGGGTGAACTGCTAGTGACATACAAAATCTCCATGCCTGCAAGATGGGTGAGAAAGAAGTACATAGGAGTGTGCAGTTGGGTGTTAATCCATACCAATACAATGATCAGAAGGTTACCCAAAACTGTCAGCAAGTAAATGATCAAGAAGACCACAAAGAGCAGGATCTGTTCCTTTCGGTGATGGGTGAGTCCTGAGAGGATGAACCTTGTTTCAGTGGTGACATTGTCAGGTTCCATCTTGGCATCTTGCCTACAAAATCGAGACACAGAAACACACTGAGATAAAGGGAGGGAGGGAGAGAGGGAGGGAGGGAAGGAGGGAGAGAGGGAGAGAAGGAGACAACTACAATATATCTACTCCAATGTAATAAAATCTCAGCTCATTCATTGTTAATCTCTAATACATCATTGTGAAAATAATGGTCGTATATTTGTCAGCAGAATGTATATGCCTAACTGTTGTGTGAAAAGTTCTTTTTTCCTTAGAGAAATTACCGGTATGTCATCAACATCATCTTCATTCAAATTTTCCTGAGAACACAGAAACATGTGTCCTTCCACACCCTTACCAATCAGTTTACAACTCTCAGAAACTTTTCAGAATTGATTCACCTTATTAAATTAAATTGAATTTTAATTTTTGGTACATTTTAACATGCATATGATCTGAAAAAGCAGATATATTGATATAAATACAAAAAGCAGATTAGTTAGAGCAATAGTCTTCCCTATAATGATGTATGGGTGTGAGAGCTGGACACTAAGAACAGCTGATTGAAGAAGACTTAATGCCTTATAAATACGGTACTGGTATAAATTATTGCATATACCTTGGATAGTCAGAGCTACCAACAGAGAGGTGTTGAATCATATAAAAGCAGCCACTTCACTAGAAGCTAAAATCAGAAGGCTGCATCTGATTTATTTTGGCCACGTCATGCGTGCAAATTTATTGAATAAGTCAATGATGCTAGGAATGGTTATTGGAACAAGAAGAAAGGACAAGCAAAGAACATGCTGGCTTGCATAACCTCAAAACTCATAACAAAGATGAACATCCAACAACTGAAATAAGCTGTGCTTGACAGGGTAGCATAGAGCGCACCAAGAGTTGGACATGACTGAATGGTTAAAACAATAACATATATTTATTTCCCACCTTTATTATTTTTACAAATAACTCAAGGCAGCGACACATAGCCATCACATCTTGGTCTTGGGGTTTCATATAAATCTTCCAACTAAGTATTAGCCAGGCCTGACCCTTTTTAGCTTTTTGAGATCTTGCAAGGTAATCAGCCATTTAGCTGATCCTTCATCCATAAACATTTACAAGTAATAAAATAGAAAATTTACCTCTGTCCTTTCTCCAGGCATTCATCATCACTCAGCAAAATCTGCCTCTTTCTACTAGTTTCAGATAAGGTGCTAAAATCTAAGTAGATGTTAGTTCGATTTCCAGGGAATGATGCTGAAATATAGTGATTTATACTGTCATCCATATACCCAAAAAAAGCTATCTGAGCTAACGCAATGAGCTTGAATGAGAAATCAAATAAACAACCTAGAAAAAGGCAGTGGGAAAACACATCCAAAGTGTTGCCATGAAAACTGCATTAAATCAGTAGGCACTGAGCATAACTTGAAGGCGACTCTACTTTTATGAAGCTGTTATTCCACAATTACCTTGCCATCTGTTGATAAATGAAATTTTAAATCTTTCTGTGGTGATGAGGAAAGCACTACATGAATTCACCTATTTAGTGTCTGAGAGGAAGTGAACAACAGACTGGCCTCTTCTTTTACATGTGCAGAAGATTTTGCAAGATCATAAGTAGATGGAGATAACTCCATGAGAATTGGTCCACTCCCTTTGGAATTCTTCTGTACATCATTATCAATGTTTTTCTCCTTTCTTAAATCTCGGGGGCATCTGAGAGATTAATCTCAAAAGATTTGTTCCATTTAGGGACTCCAGATTTGGACCTGTTTCATTTGCCTTACCCTTTTAGCTTAAATTGTCTCCAAAAAATATCACTCCAAGATGGCTTCATGCAGAACACTGGTCATCATCTACTTCAATCCTATTTCTGTTCATGGGAAATAGTTCCCTTTTCATGAGAAATGGTGGCTTTCCAACTCCATTCTAAAATGAAAGTATCCTAGAAAGCTACAGTGAAACTAAAGCAATCAGATGCCAGAACCTTCCAGTTATTCAACAAAGACTTTGGCAAAGGCTAAGACTCAAGAAAAATTCAGAATTTTTTTCTAGTGCAAACTTCTCTAATTGGATGTTCTGCAGATGTATTTTCTGTCAAAGTTATTACATGGATTATGTTGTGTTTTAATGCATTACTTATTTTATCTGATGTTCATGTTTCATTTTGCTTTTTCATGAATTTATGCATTAGTATCTTCTGTATGGAGAGTGGACTGTAAATATCTTAAACAAACAAGCAAACAAATCTTAAGATCTTCTGTGTGCTGAATGGACTATCAATATCCTAAACAAATAAACGAACAGTATCTGTGAGCTACAGAAACCTCATCAGAGGAATGGAGTGTTTAAACTTGGGGTGGGATTTAAATAAGGATTGTTCTGCTTCTAGTTTCAAATGCCCACATGTGAACACATAGTAGCTATGGTAATTAGTGATTTCCTCAAGGATATGATGATAACAGCAGACAAGGAATACAAAGCAAACCAGAGCCTCTGAAAATAGCTTGCCTAAATGTTTGGTTTTAATAAGAATACACAGAATAATAGTCCAAAACCCAGTCCAAGGTTCTGAGAGTCAAGTCAGGATTATCATCCAGGCTAGAGAGCAGAACACCACAAGAAGAGTCCAAACATGACACAAGATCCAGAGACCAGACAGCTGCTTTCAACAAGGGATCATAATTCAGGCTTCCTCTTAAATCAAACTGCAGCCAGCTGTAACTGTGATTCTTGGTTTTGTGTTTCCTGAGGCTGACATTCCACAGGTCCTGTTGCAGTGGCTTCTATACCATGGGTGTCAAATTTGATCACATCACGTGACCTATCGTAACATTTTTTGCCTTTGCGGAGCTGGGGTGAGTGTGGCCTGCACATGATGCATCCAGCCTGAGGGCCACCAGTTTGACACACCTGTTCTCTACAGTCAGAGTCATCATCTGATTTTTAGATCATGATAGGATGATGTGGGGGAAAGGGGAAAACCAACTGGTTATACAGATGCAAATTGCATGTGGTAAATGTTATATGTACCTTACCAATTCACAACTTCAAGTGTTAAATTTCATTGAGCTTGCTGAGATAGCCTGAAACTTTTTAATATTTGTGTAGATGAGTTCTGAATTTTTTTACTTTGTTGTTCTGTTAAAGTTGTTGTTTTTTCTAAATGAGACACTTTGAGACCCACAATAGAATTTCCTGGGATGCTCTAAAATGCCCTGACCTTGCTTTGTCTTGTTTGGAGGCCTGAAGTCAACTTATATCCCTTAATTTCTTTGTGCAGAATTTATCCCTATGTAGAATTCTGAGGTAAATACTATTTTAGTATATACGTTTGTAGATTTAGGTCAATATGACCCTCCCCAATATCTTGTTATTATCATCAGTCTCTGTCCTATTTGAATATAAGTCTACCTATATGAACATTGTGAGACTTCTCTTGGTCTATAAGAAAATTAAAAGGCAGTGATTCAAGGACATAGTTGTTTAATCAGTAGATTTATACAAGAACTAAGGAAGCAATTCAAGAAAGAGTAGAGGGCAACCAGCAAGAAAGTTGATAGACTTAGAGTGGCAGTGGAATTGTTGTTAAAAGAGATAGGACCAGGTCAGGAACAGATCATTGTGGAGAAAATGCATCTGTGTGGTCATACAAATGGAATAAAGTTTTACTCAATTTTATCCATTAATCTCCCTGTTCTACTCAACTCTGTCCATTAATCTCCCGGGATAAGAAGTGACAACTGGTCTTCTTCCATCTATGATAAAACAAAAGGATGGAAATTCTTTCAGTATTGCTATCAATTTTAATGCAACTATTTTTATGTTTTATCATTGTCATTCTCATCTTTGCTTTAAAGTTAACACAATTGTCATGCAACAAAAATAAAGCTAATTGGCTTTCTAGCATCTTCTTTTGTGTTCTTAGCTAAAGAAAATCCCAGTGGAGTGAGTTAATATTCTGAATAATTGAAAAAAGAATTTAAAAAGTCCCTGTAGAATAGATTCAGAGTCTTTATTATATTTGAAGCTTCAGCCAGATAATAACTTAAAGAAAGAAAGATAGCACATTTTTCACCTTCAAGTATTGACTGAGAATGAACAAGCAGTTAAATGATGCAGGTTTGATTGAGCTATCTTCTAGTGTTTGAACACTCTGGTAGAAATTACGTATAATCCAAGTAATTTTGCAAACTAAATGTATTGACACTGGACATCTTTTGCATGGTTAAGATTGGTAGAGTCTCCAGTTCAGGAATGGGATATAGTGGAAGATTTTCTGGAGAGCTATTATTGATGTAAGGAAATATTTGCTTATCCTAGGCTGTAAAAACAGAACTAAATGAGAGATTGCTTTAACCTTCTAACTGCCAAACCTACAGCAGAAGGAAGGCTCACCACTTATTTGCAGATATATTTTGGCTGGCAATATTATAGAAGATCTTCTTCTCCTCCTTCTCCTTCTCCTTCTCCTTCCTCTCCTTCTCTTTCTCTTTCTTCTTCTCCTTCTCCTTCTCCTTCATTTTCTTCCCTCTTTCTACCTTGAAATAAACCTACATTTAAATAACTTTTGAATTTCTCTGTTCTCAATTGCAAATGAAAGACCAGTTTTCTGTAAGTAGCATCAATCAGATGTATTGGAGTTCTACTTCTATATTGTTCCTTCTGACTGGAGATTATAAAAATTATAATAGAATACATCTGGAGAGCATCACATTGTACTTAATCTAACCAATTTATTTCTAATTTTTTTAAAAGAGTGCCACTTGTCCAGATAATGCTTAGTTTGCTCTAAGATATTGATCAACAGACATATATTTTGTTCAGAGGTTTTAGGATATTTTCATGCAGGAAAGAAAGAAAGAAAGAAAGAAAGAAAGAAAGAAAGAAAGAAAGAAAGAAAGAAAGAAAGAAAGAAAGAAAGAAAGAAAGAAAGAAAGAAAGAAAGAAAGAAAGAAAAAGAAAGAAAGAAAGATAACAGCACACAAATCAGTTCTCTAAAAAAGTGATTCCATTCTATCTGTCTAATCCTTTGCTCATAACTATTTTCTTCCAATCAATCTAATTCTCTGGCAAAGCCAGGAATTCTTATACCTTACTGTATTTCTGACTATAAAGTGTTCCTAGCCCGTTATTAATTAATTTTAATGGAGGTTCATTTTTGATAGGCTTTGATTCCCCCAAACAGTCTTGTGGGATGTGAGAGCTGTCATCCAAGAAATGTTAAGAGTACTGAGAAAGGAAGATTAAAGTGATATAATATGATAAAATCTCACTAACTAATAGATTTTTTTTGTCCAGGCAGAAGCTGATGATGGAGGTTGAAAACTTCACCATGGTCTCAAAATTTGTCTTAGTAGGACTCACTAATGACCGTAAGACCCAGATTTTGCTTTTTGTTGTCATTCTCATTTTTTATCTATTTACTCTTGTGGGAAACTTTGTGATCATCATACTGGTGCAGGCTGACTCCAGGCTTCACACTCCTATGTACTTCTTCTTGACTCACCTCTCAAGTCTGGAGATCTGTTATGTCTCCAGCACTGTGCCCCAGATGTTGGCCCACCTCTTCTCTGGAAATGGAACCATTTCCTTCATACGTTGTGCAACTCAGATGTACATTGCATTGTCCTTAGGTAGCACTGAAGGACTTCTCTTGGGGGTCATGGCCTACGATCGCTACTTGGCCATCTGTCATCCTTTCATTTATGCTGTTGCCATGGACAAGTGGCGCCAATTGCAGCTCACCACAGCTTCATGGGCTGGTGGCTTTCTGCTCTCCATGATGAATGTAGGGTGTACCCTACGCCTCCCATTCTGTGGCCCCAACCACATCAACCATTTCTTCTGTGAGCTGCCAGTGGTGTTGAAACTTGCATGTGCTGATACCTATGCTACTGAGAACATAATTTTTGGAGCAGCAGTTCTGATCCTGTTGATTCCTCTTTCAGTTATCCTGACTTCCTATGGACTCATTCTCTCAACTGTATTACATATGCAATCAGCTGCTGGCCGAAGCAAAGCCTTTTCCACCTGTGCTTCCCATTTGGCGGTAGTCACCCTGTTCTATGGCACCGTCATATCTATGTATATGAGACCTCGTTCGAGCACAACTCCAGACAGTGACAAGAAAATCACTGTCTTTTATATTGTAGTCACACCTCTGCTCAACCCTGTTATCTATACTCTGAGAAACAAGGATGTTCATGGGGCATTGGCCAAGATGCTAAATACAAAACACTAGAAAAGGCAAGCACTGGTATCTTCATAGTATATCCTTGGTTT